ATATTTTTCAGAAGAACAACTTTAATGCTAGTAGAAATAAAAATATAATTATGAAAACCATAAAATGATTAGGCAAGACTTACAATAATCTAACTAACATGGAGTCTATTTGAAATGTTTCTTTCTTCCATCCCTCACCTCTGGTCTAGGATGCCTCTTCTCACCCCCACTGAACATCTCCACACACACTTTCTTCACTGCTTTTCACTGGCTTTCATAAAAATATAGACAATGTACTGAGTTGTAAATTGAATAATTCCTGAAAACCAAATAGTGTAGCCATGACATTCCAAGAATATAGTTCCAAATGAGGAAAATAAAGTTTCAGTAGTGGGTTTTTTTTTTCCCCTTGCTTAAAAGGTGAAACTCATTAAAACCAGGTATATGCTTTCAGAAAAAGCAGTTGTGCCAGTACCAGTAGAAAATGGTTGCACATATTTAAGCCAATTTTATTATTTTTCTTCCTTATTTTGATTTACATTTTGATTGATTGAATACCTGTGCTATTCGTTGAACATTCATTTTATTTAAAATGGATGGAACAAGACTTTTTGTAATTCCTGAAATATATACTTTGACTTTCAAAGCAAGAAATCAGAAACCACTATGGAAAACTGTTAGAACCCTAGTGCAAGTGGTTTGAATTGGAAACATTTGAGTGACCAAATAAACCTCAAAAAATTAACTCTGGATTTGATATGCTGTATACCAGGGGTGAAATCCAGCAGGCTCTGACAGGTTCTGGAGAACTGGTAGCAGAAAATTTGAGTAGTTTGAAGAATGGCAAATAGCACCTTTGGCTGGCCCCAGAGTGGGGTGGGAATGGAGATTTTGCAATATCCTTTTCCCAGGAGTGGGGAGGGAATGGGGATTTTGCAGTATCCTTCCCCTGCCATGCCCACCAAGCCATGCTCATCAAGCCACACCACGCCCACAAAACCAGTAATAAAAAAAATTGGATTTCACCACTGCTGTATACATTTGTGAAAATTCACCACTTTTGGTTGTCCTATCTTGTTTGTTCCTAGCCAAGGTGAGCTTGCAAGATTAGATGCAGGTCTTCTTTGTTTTTCTGCATTCAAAAGAAAGAGATACTCGCTTTTTCTTTGTTTTTGATATTAGTTTTGTATTAGAATGATCAATATCATTTTCAGATGGACTAAGAGTGTCGTGGTCACTCATGTCTCAAGCACTGGTACCAGGCCATTAAGTGATAATGCTCATTTTCTGCAAGCAGAAAGATTGTGAGATCTTTTGTTGCAAAGTTGGCCAGTGACCTAAAAGCTTGGAAAACTCAGATAAACAAAATCCAGAATTGCTAAACCGAGGGTATGATCCTTCATGTCTCTCATTGGGATGAAATGAGCATTTTTCTTTTGTTATCTGATATTTGGAGGTGAGGGAGTGGGGGTGTGAGCAGGGCACTAAATTTAATTCAAGTAAATAAACCATAGTTCTTCAACTACTAGAAATAACTCTTTCCCCCATAAAAAAAGTATATAGATCTTTTGAATTATGCTTCAGGAATACAAATGTATTAAAGCCTGTCATTTTCAGGAAATAAAAAAAAAACAACTTAGTATGTCTTGTTAAATAATGCAACAATTATCTGAAAAAAATATTAATTTTCTTGTTTTCAGTGTTGTCCCATCAAAAGTAGGGAGGAACTATATTAGAAAAATGACAAGCTCTACATCAAAGTAGAAGTATAGTTATCAGAACGTGCTAACTTTGTCTTACCTCCTTATTATTGTTCTTATCCTAATAATTACATTGTGTTAATTCTTGTATCAAATGTGGGATGCGATGGCTCAGCAGTTAAAGATTCACCCTCTAACTGAACTGGATGCTAAGATTTCCAGTTCCTTAGGGTTTACTAATTGAGTAAACAGTCTTATAACAAATGCTTTTTAAACCATAGAGGCAATACTTTTGTTAAGTCAACTGAAGTTTTCTAAAATTGCTACAACTTTTTGAGTTTAAGAACTCATAATCATGTAATTTAGGAAAAAATGAGGGAAGAAGAAAAATGTGGCTGATTTTGCAGCCATGTATCAAACTTCCATACTTGAAAGGAGCAGAGAAAGTCTTCAAATATACTAATTGAAGTCTATATCTGATGAAGTCTGATTGTGATTAGGTCAGTCTCAAATCCTATTATAAAGTCAAAGCAAAAAAAAAAATGTTTGGCATCCTTTAGATAAACGCACAATCATTTCTTCATGACCAATATCCTGTTCAATAAACCTTTGCAACTGTACTAATTCGCGTCTAATGATCTTTAAGCAAACAATTTATTTTATCTTTTATATTTGCTAAAAGGATCCATTTGAAATTAAGCAATGACCCATTGGAAATTTCTTTTGTTGTTAAAATAGGTAGTGGCAAAACTCTTGTCCGATGACAGGATCTACCAAAGAAATGTTAAATATCTTCTTTTACATGTCTCAGTTTAGTAAGTTAAAATTGTTATAAAAGCAGCAGAAGCCCCTTTGGAGTAGATTTCAGTATCTGTTAAAGGGATCATTAATCAGACTGCAAACACTGGACTCCATGGAGTTCTCAAATGCCAGATGAATGCACTAGATAAAATTTTTAGAAGCTAGACACATCTGATCTCCTGCTTTCCCCCTGAGGTCCAGAAACTTCTTATCCTATATTGCAGCCAGGGAAAAGTTTGGTTTTCAATTTAAGTGGGTTTACATTATTATATCAACTATTTCAGAGGAGGCACTAGGGATAAGCTGAGACCTGATATTTTTTTTGGTAATAATCTTGATCTTCAATCCTACAGAACTCATCTCTTAAATAGTGAGAAAACTGGTGAATTGTCCAGTCCAAATTAAGTTTCTGTAAGAGACCAATTAAAGTATATACAGTATGTTCACATAATTTTATTATATATATTTTTTTCAGTTACTTAACCTTTGATATAGTTATGTCACTGTACTCATTAGTATATCAAACATAAAATCAAGAAGAAGCACAACAGCTAAGACAAAAAGACAAAAATTTCCCTCAGAACTTACCTTTTCTTAGGAGCTTACAAAAGCTTTATCTGTACTGCCCAATTATCTTGTCATCAGACAAGGCAAGCAGTCTTTCTGGAGGGCAATAATGGATGACATCACCCTCTATTAATCTCTCACTCACTTCAAAGTGATCTCACAATGTGTTTCTTCATTCAACTTTTGAAATATCCTTTTCTATCTTCAAGTGACTGGGGGGGGAAATAAATGGTACCCTCCTGAGGTTATTGAAGTTAATTAGATTTAGCTGTGGTTGTTCAAATTCTTTTTTCTTTTTTTTTTTACTACTGCCTGTTGGGTTGGATCACAGGTTTTCTCCAAAGCTAATTATGTAGACTGCAGTAGAGCCTGTAAGAGTTGGTTCCTTCCTGGAAACCTTCTAGATCTCTGAACTGTCTACTCAGTCTTGTTCACTCACGGAGCATAGAGTCTTATTATTGGCCAATTATAATGTTCTGTCTTCAGCAATATAGGATGAGAGATTTCAAAAAATCACATCTAATGAGAAAAATTGTCCCAATGGCCAGCATGAACCCAAAACCTTATAGCATGTATTTCTTCACTGCAGTGGTGAAATCCAATTTATTTTATTACCGGTTCTGTGGGCGTGGTTTGGAGAGTATGGTGTGGCTTGGTGGGTGTGGCTTGGTGGACAGGGCAGGGGAAGGATATTGCAAAATCCCCATTGCCTCCCCACTCCTGAGGGAAGGGTATTGCAAAATCTCCATTCCCACCCCACTCTGGGATCAGCCAGAGGTGATATTTGTTGGTTCTCCACACTACTCAAAATGTCCGCTACTGGTTCTCCAGAACCTGCTGGATTTCACTTCTGCTTCACTGGCATTTTTGTGAGAATATATGTGCTGGTATACTATGCCACCTTCTAGCAGAGATCAAGCTTTCAATAAGGGAGAAATGGTTTGTTTTCCACTCAGGGTTCATAATGCCAGAACCTTGGCATTATGAACAAAACTGCCAAGTTCTTATCAGCAGCTAGTGCCATAAAATGGCTTAAGGCAGGGGTGTCAAACTCGATTTCATTGAGGGCCGCATCAGGGCTGTGTTTGATCTTGGGGGGCTGGGGTGGGCATGGCCAGCTTGATGTCACTTGTGTTGGGGGCGCCTGTGGTGGCCTGAGCATTCTGCCAGTAAAAATGGGTCCCCGAGCTCCGTTTTAGCTGGCAGAGGGTTACAGGAGGCCATCACAAAACAGAGTTTGGGAGCCCGCTTTCACTGGCAGAGGCACCATGGACCAACTCTTTGCTGTTTCCAGGGTGGCTCTGCAGGCCAGATCTAAGCACCCCGTGGGGCGGTCTGGCCCCTGGGCCTTGAGTTTGACACCCCTGGCTTAAGGTATCCAAACCCTAGAACAGACCTAGGCATTTTACTGTCCCTTGGCCACAACCGGCCATTTGGTTATTCTTGTCCAGCCCATATGAGGTGAATCAGAAATTAGAAATCAAATCAATTTCTAATGGAAATAAGTGTACACTATGCATACAGTACAACTTCAATTGCTTTTATTTTGAAGATGACTGCTATTTTTTTCCAAATTACATATGTGGATGCATGCATGCCTATACATCTACACATTGGTTCAACCCTCCACAACATTCCCAGTTTCTCATGTGTCTCCTTGGAACAATTAATTGTCCAGACGTGCCCTAGAATCACATCACAAAGAAGTCCTTTTATTCATTTATCTACATGCTGTTTTTATTTTATGTGTTTTGTTTTGTTCTGCTTTGTTTACTTCTTATATGTGTAAATGTGAACTGGAGGTCAAGTTTTAGAATTCTGATTAAACTATGGCTGATTTGTATACCCCTAATTCAGTTATAAATTCTAAAGATCCTTTTCATTTTCATCTTTCCGTTGTGATGATGGCAAATTTTACCAAGCAGCTGAATGTGAAAACAGTTTGAATATCATCTGTTGTATTTTCCTCGTTTTGTTCTTATTACTTTCCAGGGGAATGTGACATTTTCCTGTTCAGAACCGCCAATCACTCCCATCACTTTTGAGAGCTCCAATAGCAGTTACTTACTGTTACCCGGCACTCCTCAGATTGATGGTTTATCTGTCAGCTTCCAGTTCAGAACATGGAACAAGGATGGACTCCTTCTGTCTACTGAATTGTCAGAAAATTCTGGCTCACTCTTGTTGTATCTCCACCATGGCAGACTGATCCTCAACATCCAAAAAGGAACAGAGAGATACGTGGGCGTCAGTGCAGGTATCAGTACTTACCAGATACGTATTTCCTTCTCACTTTTATTCTTGTTGTTAAATAAGGATCCTAGTCCATAACACAGAATTGAGATCCTTTGTTTTAAGGGGGGAAGCCAATCCTCAAATGATCATTTGTTAATCCAAGCATAATATATGGTCTGTCATGTATTATAAAACTCCAGTTTCCATTGATCTAATTTGCAGACCCAATGTAGACAGATCATAAAAATTGAGCTTCTGTATTTCTATGGCCAGACACTCCCTTTCCTGTTTAGCATTTATCTCCTTTCTAATGGAAAGGATTGCTTGTATGTACACTGAGAGTTCATGTACTAGAGACAATTCTTGTGTGTCCAATCACACTTGGACAATATAGAATTCTATTCTATTCTATTCTATTCTATTCTATTCTATTCTATTCTATTCTATCCTAGTCTAGTCCAGTCCAGTCCAGTCCAGTCCAGTCCATCCCATCCCATCCCATTTTTTTAAACAATTTCCTGCGTTGTAGTTGATATTATAACAAATCCTTAGCTTGACATTATTCTGGGATACCAAGATGACATTTCAAAAGACATCTGGCAGCAAACCCTCATTATATGCTCAGTGCTCAATTGTTGAATTCCTAAAGAAAAGCCTATCATTCTATTGAAGAAGCATGAGTGTACACATACACAAGAGCAAGAGAATCCTGTGACATTTTAAATACATATCCCTTTATAGAACAAGATTTTCATGGAAGGGCTCAGCTGCCTTAAAATTTTTTTTACAATAATTTTATTCTTTACTCCAACTACTTAGCTGGAATTCCAAATAGTGCTATTATTATTATTATTATTATTATTATTATTATTATTATTATTATTATTATTATTATTATTATTATTATTATTCCTAAATCTCTGTTCTTATCAGGGTTAGGAGAGACACAACAGCAAATACATAGACAAGCTATAAATTATGGCTAGAGTCAAGGGTGGGTTCCAAATCCCGTCGCTACCAGTTCGCTCGTGCATGCGTGCGTGTACAGAAGCATCTGGGTAGGTGGGCAGAGCCTCCCGCTACCACCGCTACAGGTTCGCCTTACCCTGCGTGAATTGGTAGCAACCCACCACTGGGTAGAGTAGAAATCTCATCCACTCTATGAGGAAGGACTAAGGAGCAGACTAATAAAAAACAATAGATTAATATCAGAATTTAGGAAGCCTTTATTCAAGCAAAGTTGAGAAGGAATAAGCAACCTTTTTCCTGATTCAGAGGATCCAAGAGCCCATCAAGGGCCTGGAGGTAGCAAATTGCCTGAAACAGGTAGTAAAATGCTCCATTAAGTAATTCATCATGTGAACAAATTAATATAAATTAAATGAATTATAAGATCATAGATGTGGGGTTGGAAATTACCTTGGAGATCATCTAATCTAATCTCCTACTCAGTGCATATTATAGCATATTCAACTAATGGCCATCCAGCCTCTGATGGCCATTAGTGAAGGACATTCCACACTTCTTAAAACTTCTTTTCAACTATTGAGCACCTCTTATAGTTAGAATATTTTTTTTTCCTAATTACTAGCTAAAATCAACATCCTTTTTATTTGAACCCATTCTTGCCTCCACTGCCCACTCCATCTTCTGGAAGAACTCCAGAAGATTCTACATAACCCTTCCTTCAGAGACGTGAAGACTGTTCACAGTCTTTTGTTCTCCAAGCTAAATGTACCCAACAGCTTCAAATGTATTTCCTTAGTCTTTTCTTTCTCAGCTATAGTGCTCAGAATGGATACAACATTTTTAGGGCAATTGAACCAAGATATAGCACATATTGTATCACAATATAAGCAGGAGACCCTATACCATTTCAGACAGTCCAGTCTCTTCTTAAAAACCTTGTTCAGCTTATGATCACTAAGACATTCAGATTTACTTCTCAAGCTCCCCCCCCATCTATACTAATGTGTTTGATTTTTCTTTCCCAAATGAGGACATTTGTGTTTGTCTTTGCTAAAACTGAATTACTACAAATTTGAACATGACACCTACTCAGCAAACACTCTCTGGAGTGCATTGTGTCGGCTTCTCCAAGAGCTTCACAGTGACTTTATTGCTGAGTATCCAGCAGCACTTTAAACTCACAAAAAATGCCTCTCAATTTAGATCCTAAAACACTTCCTGGGAAATAAGCTTAATTAGAAACAATGAGATTCCCATAGAAATGTGCAGGAATATTATTTCATGGCCAACACGATGCAGCTGAGAATTAAATCAGATGGCTTCTTGAAAACAGATGCTATGAAGGTTCATGATAAGCACAATTTAAGGCAAAATGCACCCACTCTGAAGCTTTAACATTTTTATGTGATTTACATAATTGGTCACTTCCATGTATTATCAGAGTCCTGTAAGCAATAAGAATGCTCATAATCAGATGAAAAACGCACACACAATTATCCTATAGAAAAGTTGTCTGTTCAGGATGATTCTTATTTACAAATTTAAAAACATGGCAAGTCCTTGTCCACATTAAATATCCACAACAAGAGCTTTCTGGATTTGAGATTACTTACACCCTCTCAATTGGGATGATTAGGCAAATTACCATATATAACAACTTCGTGAGTGCCTGAGGTCTTCAGGCCATGTGTTTATGCCAAACATTCCACTATTGGTTACTCTCCACTGAATGGTTTTGTTGCTTCCTGGAAGGATCAGAATGATTCACAGACATTGTCTCTTCCTTCTGGTCCTGATGTGAATGGTTGATCAGGTTTATACTTTTTTGTTTCTTAGGCAACAATCTATATGATGGCCTGTGGCACTCGGTTAACATCAATGCCAGAAGACATCGCATCACCTTAACTCTTGATAACGATGTAGCATCGGCTGTTCATGCTACCACCGTTTCACAGATTTATTCAGGGCACAGCTATTATTTTGGAGGTAAGCTGGCTTCCCCTGTAATTGCAATACACTATTACATTTACTTTCTTTGTCAAAAAAAAAAAATCCTATCCTTTTAAGATTATTTTTGTAACTAAGAAATTATATTGCTTCCTGAAAGGTTAAGGGAAAAAAATATTTATCTGATTGACTGTCTGTCTGTCTGTCTGTCTTCTATCTGTCTATTTTATTTCTACACTGTTAAACTTTGAGTGCTTCACAGGTTAAAAACAGAATATTTTTTTTAACAAAATACAAAACAAAGCCTAACATATAATCAGTTTATTGAGGGAAGCCACCAAAACATAGGTGGAATAACTCCATTGCACCCATCACTAAAAGGGGAGGCCCCATCTCCACTCACTTGTGTGTGTGTGTGTGTGTGTGTGCGTGTGTGTGTTCGTACTGATGGTTGCCAACCAATAAGATAGTAAGGTGGTTGCCTGCCACACTCCAGAGATATACAGACTCAGTCAGAACTTTTTAGAAGCAAAGAGTCCTTTTTACCTATAAAGATGACAAATATAATGCAGTCAAATCTTGGAGACCAGGAATCCAATAAACAAACAACAAAACACAGTGAAATGGAATCAAGAGTCTGTGGCCCAACAGCATGATAAGGTAAACACAACAGAACTGAGGTTTGAAAGGTTGTTCTCAGTTTTTTCTCAAGGGGAGTAAGATCAATAAATCACCCATGCTGAGCCTCCTTCCAATGCATGTTATTCCTCAGAGTCTACTTCTTGGCTGACATCTCTGGGCTGTGTAGCTCAGTCCTCTATCTTCAGATTCTTAAGGCCTGCTTCGGTTTGGGGCTAGATGGATTAACCTCAGAGTTGGAGAAGTTTCAGTGGGTGCAGGCAGGAGTCCAGGGCCTTGCTGGATCTGCCTCAGCTGGAGCGGAGTCTGGGCTCCAACCTAGCTGGGATCAACTCCTCCAGGAGTGTTATCTCTAGAAGGCCATGAGTCTTTTCATCATCCAAAGAGAGTCCAGCAGAGCTTTAATGCTGTACCCATTTACTTTTAGGCTTAAAGTCACAATTAAGTTTTCAAAGATCATTTGTAGGCAAGCAAGCTGGGAGCCATGAGGCTCTCTAGGTGGCAGGGGATGCTGTGCTACAACACAAATGCCTGCCTTCTAGGTCTCATTAGGTTATACTCTTTAACCGATGGGATCTGGAGGGAATAGGATGGGTAGAGACTATAGGAGAGAGGAAATCCTTTAAGTATGCAGATCCTGTTTCATGTAGGACTGGTTATCACTTATAAACATTGGGGGGCTTTAAGTGTTAAAAACAGTAGCAATATAAAGAGAATCCAAAATATGTCAAACACCCCCTCCCCATGAAAATGTGTTAGCTTTCTATATAGTAGTGGCCAAAATTGTGGAAACCTTTTGAGAAAAGTGTATTTTTGAGGTTTGATGACTAATAACACCACTCTTTTTTTGGAGTTTCATATTCCACTGCTGGAATGGCCTGGGAATAGCCCAGACCTTAACCCAATTGAAAATCTATGAAGCCGACTAAAGAAACTTGTTAGTCAGAAGCAACCCAGCAATAAAACCCAGTTAATAGAAGCAATCATTCAATCTTGGTTTCACATTATAACAGCTGCAGAACTAAAAGACTTGGTTCACTCCACAGGAAGACGTTGTAAGGCCATAATTCATGCTAAAGGTTACCCAACTAAGTATTAACTGACATAATATTTTTTGTATATCTCATTTTTTCTATGGTTATAATTTTTGTATATCTTGTTTTTCTACGTGTTTCACTTTTCTTCTTTATACTGTAACTGCTATTCTAATAGCAAATCCTTCATGAAAGTTATTGCATTACATTCTTGATTAAATTATCTTTCCATCGATATATAATTTTATGGTACTACTAAAAAAAAAGGGGGGTGTTATTAGCTAGTTTTAGAAAATACACTTTTCCCACAATTTTGGCCACTACTGTAAAACTGGAATAGTTAAAATGAACTTTGTGGATCCATTTCTCCTGCAGATCTCCAAGTTTCATCAGTTTTGTAATGACAAAGACATTTTGTTAATGCTTGAACGAAAGTATATTTAATTTTATATTTTCAAGCCCATACATAGCTATCATGTATCATTGTGTGTTGTCAAACTTAATTACGAGTCAAATTTTTCTTAAAATGTGGTTACTAATTTAAAAAAAAAATAGGGAAACCTTAAGGAAAGGTTTCTTATGCATTCTTGAAGCTAATGTGCAAAATTTGTTGTGTTAGAGAAATTGTTTCTTCTTCAAAAGGATTCTGATAAGGTTTTCACTGGTATTTTCCAATTATCCCTTTCCCCTGAAAGACTTTATGAACCTACCTTGTGCTTTTAAAAGCATGTACCATTCAATGATGTGTGATCTTTATTGATCAACAGCTGCAAAGTTTGCCTACTTGAGAATCAAAGATTGAGCATGCATTAAGATACATACATCAGATTTTGCATGCATCAAGATATACATATATGAGTCATGGAGGTCTGAGCTGGGAGGTGTCAGCCTTCAAGGTACACCGAATAAGAAACCAAAGCCAAGCAGGCTAATATTACTTATATCCAGAGGTGGGCTTCAAAAATTTTAGCAAGGGCTTCTCTGCCCGGTTGCTGGGTGGGCGTGGTCACAGTGGGTGTGGCCTAGTCATCCTCCTGCACCATGGCAGGAGGGGCGTTTTTATTATTTATTTATTATTATTTATTTATTTATTAATCAAATTTCTATACCGCCCTACTCCCGAAGGACTCAGGGCGGTGAACAGCCAAGATAAAATACAGATAATACAAATATTAAAAGTCCCTTAAAATTATTAAATATTTTGGCCGAAACACAGATTAAAACACCCAATTTATAAGATCAAACGAATTAAAAATTTAAAAGAGAGTTAGGCCAGGCCAGCCTGCTGAAATAAAAAAGTTTTGAGAGCACGACGAAACGTGCGCAGGTCCAGGATCCTCCGTATCTCCGGGGGGAGCTCGTTCCAGATGGTAGGTGCCCCCACAGAGAAGGCTCTCCCCCTGGGGTCTGCCAGCCGACACTGTTTGGCCGATGGCACCCTGAGAAGCCCCTCTCTATGGGAGCGTACTGGTCGGTGAGAGGTTATAGGTAGCAGAAGGCGGCCTCGTAAATACCCCGGTCCGATGCCATGGAGCACTCTAAAGGTGGTGACCAAAACCTTGAAGCGCACCCGGAAGACCACCGGGAGCCAGTGCAGCTCACGCAGGAGGGGGGTCACATGGGAGCACCACGTCACTCCCATAACCACCCACGCGGCCGCATTCTGGACCAGCTGGAGCCTCCGGGTGCTCCTCAAGGGGAGCCCCATGTAAAGAGCATTGCAGTAGTAGTTTTTGCCCTCCCTGGGCTCCAGAGACTTTTTTTGAGCCTCTGGGAGGGCAAAAATAGCCTCCTCAGGCTCCGGAGGCGCTCTGGAGGCTGGAAATTGGCCTGTTTTTGGCTTTCCCAAACTTTCGGTACGCCTGTTTTTCACTCTTTCCAAGCCTTCATGGGTCATTTCAGGCCTTTGGAGGGCCTCCGAGGGAGTGAGAAAGGATGTTTTCGCCCTTCCCAGATAAATAGAGAGGAACTAGAACCAGATAAGAAAGAAAAACGGGCCTACCAGGCCATTGCATGCCAGGAGCGGGGGGGGGAAGGAGGGGTTGCACGTGCATGCGCAGGGCAGGGTGCATAGAATTAGTGGTGTGGGCACGCATGCGCACGACCCTTCCCCGCACCCCCCCTCTCCTGGCACGCGATGGCAAAAAGGTTAGCTATCGCTGCTCTACCCCCTATAGGACCAATGAAACAAGCAGCGGTTAACTCCTCTTTCCTATTTGTCACTTGCATCCATTCTGATCTCTTACATCCATTCTGATCAACACAACTTACATATTTCACAATGACTATTTTTCACAAAGAAAGAAGCTTACCAGTACATCCAGCTGCTAATGGTCTTTAGTGTGCTGCAGCAGAACATTGAAGAGTCTTCAAGTGACACACTGTAGCACTATAAACTTATTTTCCATTTCCATCGCCTTCTATTCTTCAGACTGCTTTATAGATTGATAACACAGACAGCATCCAACGAATATGTCATGGTTCAAGAAACTTTTTTTTTAGCTGTTAACTTTTCTTTCACGTTTTGACTAATATATTAAGATCCACATCACAAATAAGTTTTTGTCTAACATTTCTAGGATGGAAGCATTAGAATGGTACTTAGGTTTCAAATTTTGGCACTGACAATAACTTTCTTTCTTTCTTTCTTTCTTTCTTTCTTTCTTTCTTTCTTTCTTTTCTTTCTTTCTTTCTTTCTTTCTTTCTCTTTCTTTCTTTCTTTCTTTCTTTCTTTCTTTCTTTCTTTCTTTCTTGATTTGTATACCGCCCTACTCCCGAAGGACTCAGGGCGGTGAACAGCCAAACAGTAAAATACATAAATACAAAATTTAAAAACAGGATAAAATCGAATTAAACAATTTGGCCCAGACAGATTAAAACACCCCAATCATTTAAAAAACAGATTAAAATTTGCATATTAAAAGAAAAGAAGGAAAAGATTAGGCCAGCCCCGCCTGGTGGAATAAAAAGGTCTTCAAAGCATGGCAGAAGGTGCGCAGATACGGGATCCTCCGTATCTCCGGGGGGAGCTCATTCCAGATAGTAGGTGCCCCTACAGAGAAGGCTCTCCTGATGCTGATGCTACAATATATATTCAGGCATATTTATTATTTTTCATACATTTCTTCAACCCTGTTCATGATCATTGGCTTCTAGATAGTGTTTTTTTTTAAAAAAAACCAGTAGACTTTAGTTATACCAAAGGACCAGTTTTGGGTTACTTTAATGCCTGTATCCATTCAGAGGAGCAGGAGTAAGTGGCACAATAACAGACAAAGCATCCTATTGAATATTGACTTGAAAAAGGATACTTTATAGGGAACTATACATTTTGGTACATTGTTTGTTCTCTAACAATATTTGTGTGAGATTTATACATTGATGTAATGCTCTATCAGAGCAGATTGTAAATAGTTACTTCTTTGGAAGTAAATGTGTGATCCCCAAACACCATGCTACAATCTTTTTAGTAGGGCTTCCATTTACTGGATTAATTTATATTTTGGAAAATAAGATAATTTCCATCAGACTTTCCCCTAATTTTATTCCCATAACAGCAGCTTGACAGGTATTTGTAACCAAAAGAGACTGGCTAGTCAAAAATCACTCAGTGACTTCCCATGACTTAGAAATGACTTGAACCTCCGATCGCCAGTCACCCCAGTGCTGGATGATACAGGAGGCAAAATTTAGCTATTCCATTTACTTTCCTCTTAAATTTTGGAGTAAATTTTGGAGAAGAGTGAGTAGCCCTTCCTCTCTCTCTTCCCCCTCCCCCATTGCTATATAGATATCAATTAAGGATTCTTTGCTAATATTTCAACTAGAGATTCAAGTTTGCTTTGTAGTAATGAAAGACAACTCAGTTTCCACTTTAAAATGTCTCTGTGTTTTAGGTTTATATAGAATAGAATAACAGAGTTGGAAGGGACCTTGGAGGTCTTCTAGTCCAACTCCCTTCTTAAGCAGAAAAACCTATAGTATTTCAGACAAATGGTTATTCAATATCTTTTTAAAAATTTCCAGTGTTGGAGCACTCACAACTTCTGGAGGCAAGTTGTTTCACTGATTAATTGTTCTAACAGTCAGGAATTTTTTCTCCTTAGTTCTAGGTTGCTTCTCTCCTTGATTAGTTTCCACCCATTGCTTCTTGTCCTACCTCTGGGGCTTTGGAGAATAGCTTGACTCCCTCTTTTTTATAGCAGCCCCTGAGATATCATGTCACCCCAGTCTTTCTTTTCATTAAACTAGTCTTACCCAATTCCAGCAACTGTTCTTTTTATGTTTTAGCCTCCAGTCCCCTAATCATCTTTGTTGCTCTTCTCTGCACTCTTTCTAAAGTCTCAACATATTTTTTACATCATGACGACCAAAACTGGATACAGTATTCCAAGTGTGGCTTCATCAAAGCATTATAAAGTGGTATTAACACTTCAGGTGATCTTGATTCTATCTCTCTGTTTATGCAGCCTAGAACTGTGTTGGCTTTCTTGGCAGCTGCAGCACACTGCTGGCTCATATGAAAATTCCTATGGTTATAATCAGGAAAGGTGGCGATAGTGATATCATAATGTATATGATTCACAAGCATTTTGCATTTGGCTCCCTTTAGGCCCGTAAAATATTTTTGCAGATTCAAAACCGTATTCCATTCTCAAATGCAATAACCAGCTGTGGCTCTCTCTGGAATCTTTAAGGTTTTGAATTATGGCTTTGAAAACAGATTACTTCAATTTCTTAATAAGCATGTAACATTGATCACAGCATTAGCAAGCACGGAATGCATTTTTGTTGGGTTTTTTTTTTTCTTGTAAAAATCATTCTACCGATGTCCCTTTAACCTCATTTTTGGTACTATACTAAAAAGAATAGAAAAAAAGTTTTGCACTGTTTAACACTGTTTGCTCAGAGGATTGCTTATATATGTGAAGTTATTTCTTTCAGAATCTGCTCTCAGGGTGCGGTAGTATTATAGAATTCATTTCAGTCTGATCTTTGCACTGCTGATATTTCAAAGAGTTTACTCTATGCTCCCTGATTATATCCAGGGTGCACAATGCTATTGGATGACATTTTCATTTTCCCTCTACGCGTCTCTCTCTCTCTCTCTCTTTCCAAGCATAATGATAGGTTTAGTCCAGATGCTGATATAGCTTCAACAAGCTGTCATAAAGCTCAGTGTAATTCAAACACCATCTTGGTAAAAAAAAAAAAAAAAAAGATGGCACGGGATTTCTAAAGCTGAACTTGTCATGAAGTTGACACTAGAATTGTAGCAATTGTTACTTTGTTGTTGCTGTGGAATAATTTTAAGAGTTTACTAGCTGAGCACCACAGGAGAAGGGGTTCTGCTTGGTCTGTGACCACTTAGTTGAGCTCACCAAGTCCTATACTATGTTGCTCAGACTATGCAGCAACTTTAGGTTATATCAAAAATAGACGGTTTTTAGAGTATACTAGTCCTACGGTAAACTAGCAGATAAGCATTCAGCTAAACTAGTCACTAGTAAGATGAGGTATAACTTGGCATTTTAATACATTCTCAGCAAAGGCTATTGCATTGTAATGTGTCTTTACCTCATCCATGCTTTAAGGTGGATTATTATTGTTATGATTCATTGCACAATCAGCCAGACGTGGTTGTTATTATCATTCTTCTGTTGTTGCTGTCTTCACTGACAGTTTTTTTTCCCCATTTATTAGCTTAGCTATGTCACTCTCCATTTCCAGCCTGTGATTTTAACCTCTTTGCCTTTTCTATTTCCTTGTTATGTTTTTCTTTGGCACGTCTCACAAATGTATGTTGATATTTGGTTTTTATCATATTTATTACTGTGAATTCATATTTGGTATTTTTTGCTTTTATCTATTGCTGTGCACCACCCAGAGTCTCCTTGGTGAGAAGGATATATATATTTGGAATAATAATAATAATATGTCATTGGCAGTTGCTGACATAGTGCTATGAAGTCATTCTGGACCCCTAGGTGAGCCATTGTGAAAATAGGTTGTAGACCTAGGCTGTTTGATCAACAGTAATGAATGGCTACAGTGGGGGAATGGGGAGAGAGAAATTGGAAAGAGAAGAGATAGAATCTAAATTCATAAGTCCCTATATGGCTTGCAAGACTGATATTCAATAGGAAGTGACAGCTTTCCCTAACTATGTGCCATCCACAGATACTGAAACAAACTACTTTAGCAAACTACTGGTGCAAGGATGGAGTAGATTATGTACTCCAGAAAGAAACTGACAAAGGAAGGACTGGAGAGATAAAGGACAAATAAATGAAATAAGATAAAGGAGATGATCAGGGGACAAGGAAAAAAAAAGGAAGCAATAAGCTGCCATGATCCCCAAAAGTTCCTGGCATGAGTACAAAACAGCTCCTCCAATAGCAGAAGCTGCATCAGACTTTAAAGGCTGGTTTTCTTCCATCCTTTAGAATAGTGCCCAACAGTAAATAGAACCTTTTCATGTCCATTAATTGAGTTTTATTTTTGTTAATAATCAGCACATCTATTCTCATTATAAAGTAAAACTAATTATAGTGTGATAATTGTGATTATGCTGCTTCTATAAATGCAAAAGTAAAATGAGCAAGAGAGTATTTTAATGGGGATTTTTGATAACTTCAGTAAACAAACAGGGTCTTAAGATCAATGTTCAGGATTCTCTCTCAGCCCAAGTCACCTCACAGGGTTGTTGTAGGGAAAATAGGAGGAAGGAATATTATATATGTTTCCCACCTGGAAACATATATAATATTTAAAAAAAAAAAATAAGAAAGGCAGAATGAAATATAAAATAAAAATAAATAAAATAGACCCAAGCTCTCTTTAAGAAGCTCTCTTAATAAGGTAAAGACATATTTTATAATCAGAAAATACCTGAACTTAATCTCTGAAGCCTACTAGGGGAAAAAAAGTCAGGGAAGGGATTTCTCTGCATAAGATCCTAAAAACATACAGTCACAGTAGATCATATATTTGGGTCGAAGGGTGAATGTTTTGCCGTGATATAATTCAATCTTTTAATTTGTGAACAGATATCCTAAATAAGTTGTGTCATGCAGCTTCAATCCATGGGCTCCCTCTGAAGACAACAAAAACCATACTAGTTCCAGCTCATGCTTTTTTTTTATGTTAAAAAAAACCTAAAGTTTGAACTTGCCCCAATATCTGTCTTCTATCCTTATTATTACTTATTTTCTTTGGAAGATGTTTCAATTTACTTCTATAGAATTTGAAACTTAAATGCAAGCAATGAAAACACTAAAAGTAATTAGACTTACTTTCTATGAATCCCCAAGCAAATAAATTATCATTTAAGTATTCTTCATCTCACTGCTTTTCTACCTTCTTTGTCCCACAGGGTGCCCTGACAATTTTACCGATTCAAAATGTTTAAATCCCATTATGGCTTTTCAAGGTTGCATGAGGCTCATCTTTATTGATAACCAGCCCAAGGACCTTACTTTAGTTCAGCAAGGCTCCCTGGGGAATTACAGTGATTTGCGCATTGATATCTGTGGCATCAAAGACAGGTAATTATTCTCCTTTTCCTTTGTCTTGTTGTTTTCTTTCAGCTAAGTGGTTTGTAAGTGCAGTTTTGTAGAACTGGAAATTTGAATATGCTATCATTATTAATATTAGGTTTAACAGAGTTGCTACCACAAAACATCACTTCAAAGCAACACTAAATTGTGTGAAATGCGCGCTCTCTCTCTCTCCCTCCCCCCCTCTCTCTGTTCATGAAAGATGGAATATGCAAATTAAACTGTAGATTTGGGTAAGAATTAAATTATATACCCAAAGCACGTTTGACAGCTTTAAAGTTTAAATAAACAGCAAAGCCATTGTTTGAATGATCTAAATATGCCTTCTTCTCAACTTATTTATTTGAATAAATTCTCGGTTCCAAACTGCTGTAGTGAACACTGGATTTTTTTTTTTTTTTTTGAATAGAAGCAGAATAAAGTAATATTGATCTTGCTAGAAATCAAATTATTTCAGAAATCATCCTGAGGACCAGGCTGAAACACAAAAGCCAGAATTCAGTCTTAATTCACTGTCCTAGCATTGTTGTTAGTAACAAAGAAGAATTGCCTTTGTGAGGCAGAGAAGTTTTAGATAACTCAGTAACTCAGTTATTTACTTTTAGCTCATGAATGGCAAAGATACTGATATATAGCAATTAGTCTAGAATTGCAGCTAGCACTTATTTACTGGTTTGATCTGTTTTTTGAGAAATTAATATATATGTGAAGCTTCTGTTATTGTGTACAATCATCAAGTTTGATTTTAAAATATATTTTAATTTTTAAAAAAATGAAACAAGAAACTAGCACCCTAGAGAACGTAAAGTATCAGATTCCAACATGGACTTTGTTCCTAAGAATTCCTCTTGAACTTACACTACAGATTCTATTTCCATTCTTTGAAATTAAAAAGGCAAATCATTGTGCCCCAATGCTTTGCTACCTTCCTAGAAAGACAATCACAAAACAAAGCATTAGGGATGCTTACTGTAGCTCCCCCCACCCCCCAAATGGAAATTTTCTGATTTTTATTAGCCTGGACTTCATGCTCCATGGTTCACTTGTCCAGGCTCTATTAGTTTGGGAATAGCCCCTTGCATAAAGGAAATGTGCATAAAAGCAGTTACTGTAACACTTTTAATTATATATGCTAAAGGTCTTTCTAGCAAAAACCTTTGCAGCGCTGTTTGCAGAACTGTTTCTTTGCACCCAGTGTGGAATGTCCTTACTATGCCTGAAAGTCTTTAAGGTCGGTCATCTTCAGTGCATGCTTCAGGCAATCCTGCTTTTGAAGCACTTCAACCTATCCTGGTAGAGGAACATGAGCAACATTGCTGCTACACTTTGATAAAATGTTCATCATCATCACCAACAAAGATAGTCATGCTAATACGAATCTCTTAAAATAAACCTAAGTCATTTTGGTCCCTATCTATCTATCTATCTATCTATCTATCTATCTATCTATCTATCTATTTCTGAACATGACAATAGTACTTTGATTCAATGATTCCTCCATCAAATCATCTCAGTGAGGAGAGCAGTTGTGTAAACTAAACCAGGTTTCTGCTTCAAAGCAATAGAATGAAACAGATGTCTCCAAAGCCCTTCACACCCTTCCAAAATGTTCCATAGATCCTAAAGTTTTTTTCTGCTATTGCTAAGTTTGCTGGAGAAGGTATGTACTGTCCCTTCTTCACTTCCTATATACAGTAGATATAGCTGGAGATATGAGTGATGTGTTGGGATCTTTAATACTGCAATAGGCTGCACTGAACTATGTTTTGGGATTGGCATGGTTATTCTGCAATGGTCATGTTAAAAATGGTATTAGTGCCATGATATTAGACCATTTGAATGGTCACTAAATGAACTGTTGTACATTGAGGACTACTTGTATTTTGAGAAAGGCTAGTATTTAGAGGCTAGTATGTACAGTATAAAATCTTAGAATTTTTTACTTTGATGATCACTACTGTTTGTTTGGTTTTTTTTGGTTTTTTTTAATTTGATTTATATGCCGCCCTTCTCCGGAGACTCAGGGCGGCTTACAATGCGTTAAGCAATAGCCTTCATCCTTTTGTATATTTATACAAAGTCAGCTTATTGCCCCCACAAACTGGGTCCTCAATTTACCTACCTTAGAAAGGATGGAAGGCTGAGTCAACCTTGAGCCTGGTGAGAGTTGAACTCGCAGTAATTGCAGACAGCTGGTGTTAATCACAATGCTATCAGTCTGCTGAGCCACCAGGCCCTAACTGTACTAACTGTAGAAATCTAGGTGGGACCAATTCAGGGCAAATAAATGAAAACATAGGAACAAAATTGTCTTAGTGTGTGGGGTGGGACAATGTCTTAGAGAAGCTTTTTGAAAATTACCTTGCATTTTTATTATCAAAATGTAAAGATTATGGGATTGCACGTTAAAAAAATAGATGGTTCGGATTTTAGTACCATGATGAAATATAATCCATCTTCATCTTTCCAGTAGCATTAAAAACTGAAGCAGCATTGAAAGTGAATCCCAGAAACTGAGGTTCTTTTATAGCCAATATATAGATATGAGTCGTAATGGGATCGCTATCTTATCAGTGAAAGTTTTCAGGAATTGTGGTGTAAGAAAGCTGTTTTAAGCAACAGCTCTGGTTAAAGGAGCATCTTCCGAAATGGGTCCAAACAGCCTTGAGTAATCCAACAACAACAGCAAATCATGGCCATAAAATGCCTTCTTCGGCAATTGCAAGATACTTACTATCTACGGGTCACCAGGTGGATCAAAACTCTGCCTTTAAAGTTCACTGTGCCACCGGAACTCTCGTTTCCTTCATTTTACTGAGGCAGTTGTCATTAACCATTTGTAGCCCCCACTTGTGCATGCAGAAACAGCTTTATGTCAATGTATGCCTCCCATGGGCATAAGGCTTGCCATTGCTTGCTTTCCTGCATATGTTATAGGCTTAATTAATGTTCTTGCTAGATCTTATATTTGAGGCTGATTTGAACTGTGTTATTGTAACATAGATACTGATGAGTCAATACGAAATGCTTGCATCTACCTCTGTTTGTCTTTTGGCTGTATTGTTTAAATTATTAAAAGGGACTAATTGTTTTAAAGCTCTGGTTATGTTTGTGAAGGGAAAGGTAGAAGCGGTTGCTTTTACAACTCAGGTCTATTTATATTGGTAATATTAAAACTCTGGGATTTCTGGGATTTCCCCTTCAAATGGACCGCTATCTTGTCATTAAAAGCTTTCATGGACTGTGGTTTAAGAAAGCTGTTTTAAGCAACAGATCTGGTTTTGTTTGTGATAGGAAGGGTAGAAACATTTGTTGTTGTTTTCCTGCAGGGAGTGATTGAGATAGCTTCTTTAGCTTGCAGCAGTGTGGGGGGAGCCCTCCATGCATTCCCACTCAGCATCTATTACTTCTGGTTCTTCTAGGTATTTTCTAAAGAAAGGGAGAAAAAGCAGTACGGTAGTCACCTCCTGCAGAGAAGGCAACCGCTGTTGATTAACTCCCTCTTTCAAGTTCAGATTGAACTCTGAAGGCTAACTAAGAGAGGCATGTTGAGATGGGTTCTTTTCTAAGAACGGGAGACTGAGAGAAAGAAAAGGGACCAACTTCTACAAGGGAAGGTGACTGCCACTGTTTCTTTATTTAACACTTAGATCAGGCTCTACACACTCACTTACAGGGTTCTTTTCTTTCTTTGTGAAACCTGCTATGGGTCACCAGATAATTCCTGAAGAATAAAAGAACAAAAAGTACTTGCTCGGGTTACATTAAGGAGAGTAGAAGAGCCCTGTTCTGTTCTCCTCCATTACTACAGCTCTTTGCGGTCAAATAATATTCTGAGAAACTGGATCAAATGTCCTCCCCCCCACCCTGAATTCCTTCCTGTCTTGGTCCTTTTATTAAAGACTTTTTTTTCTTCACAGAGTAAAAAACAATACAAATTTTAACTTACAAGCAGAGAAACAGAGAAAAGGAATAGAAAAGTGAAAAGGAAATAAAAAATATAAAAAGAAGGGAAAATAAAAAAAGCAAGTACAATGCAAAAGAGGCTTCTGATCTTCTTAAGATCAATTATAAGTACATTTAGATTTTACCCTCTTTCTCCAAGGTTACATCAAACTTCTTTCTATATTCTATTTTTTCTAATGATCAAATCCAAAAATTATCAGTTCTTTTTTTTTTTCCCAACAAAAACTCTTTAAGGGATTTTAATTAGAACAGATTTTGATCCAGCTCAGTCCCTGAATCCTGAATTTTAGCCTTTGGGATTATGTTGTGCCATGGACTTACCCTGTCTTCTGGAAGTAGTCAATGTACATGCACCATAACATAAAATGTCTGATGAAGCTCTATTACCATTTTCTGCAGAAACTTTTGTGTAAAGCACCAAGGTCTATGGTGGTGAAGGCAGAAGACATGTAACTGTAGTATGAGGAGTTGATAAAATTGCAACTATTTTCTATGGTTGGAATCCATGATTTTATTTATTTGTTTGTTTGTTTGTTTATTAAACTTATATGCTACCCATCTCACCTAGAAGTGACTCTGGGTGGCTTACAATCAATAACAACAACTATATAAAACATTGAAACAATAGAAAGTAATACTAAATTTGGTTTAAAATTGACAAAGATGGGAAGAAGGGAGCAGGATGCACATGGGGAGGAGGTGGGGTATTATCTTAGTCCAGTGGTCCCCAATCTTTGCGGCTTGATGGCCAGGGGGACAATGGCCGGAGGGACAAGGGAACCAAGCTGCACATGCACTGGCCTGGCACTTGGATTAGTTGAGCTGTGCATGTGCACATGCTCATGCGCACTGGCCCACCACTCATGTGGCCCAGTTCCAACTAGGCCACAGCCCAGTAGTGGCCTGTGGCTCGGGGGTTGGTGACCCCTGTCTTAGTCCATTAATCACCTCCAGATTATTGAGGTCCCAGGCCAGTTGGGAGACCCAGTCTTGAGGACCTTTCGGAAAGCCAAAAGGGCGGG